CAATTAAAGGGGGGTATCACCCCCGATCCCACACAAATACAATGTACCATCAGAGGTTATATTACTACAAACACCTCTATGCAAATAAACCAGTAAATCCAGAAGAAATGGAAAAATTCCTGGACACTTACACTCTCCAAAGACTAAACCAGGAAGAAGTTGAATCCCTGAATAGACCAATAACAAGGTCTGAAACTGGGGCAGCAATTAATAGCATACCAACCAAAAAAAGCCCAGGACCAGACAGGTTCACCGCTGAATTCTACCAGAGGTATAAAGAGGTACCAATCCTTCTGAAACTATTCCAAACAATACAAAAAAAGGGAATCCTCCCTAACTCATTTCATGAGACCAACATCATCCTGATGTTAACCTGCAGAGACACAACTAAGAAAGAAAACTTTAGGCCAATATCCATGATGAACATTGATGCAGAAACACACAATAGTAATACTGGCAAACCAAATCCAACAGCATATCAAAAAGCTTATCCAACACAAGTCGGCTTCATCCCTGGGATGCAAGGCTGGTTCAACAGACTCAAATCTATAAACGTAATCCATCACAAAAACCGAATCAAAAATAAAAACACATGCTTATGTCAATAGATACAGAGAAGGCCTTCAACAAAATTCAACAGCCTTTATGCTAAAAACTCTCAATAAACTAGGTATCAGTGGAACACATCTCAAAATAATAAGAGCTATTTATAACAAGCCCACAGCCAATGTCATACTGAATGGGCAAAAACTAGAAGCATTCCCTTTGAAAACTGGCACAAGACAAGGATGCCTTCCTTCTCTTACCACTCCTATTCAAAATAGTATTGAAAGTTCTGGCCCGGGCAATCAGGCAAGAAAAAGAAAGTTTATTCAATTAGAAAAAAGGAAGTCAAATTGTCTCTATTTGCAGATGACAACTGTATATTTAGAAGAACCCATTGTCTCAGTCCAAAAATCTCCTTAAGCTGATAAGCAACTTCAGCAAAGTCTCAGGATACAAAATTTATCTGCAAAAATCACAAACACTCCTATACACCATTAACAGAGAGCCAAATCATGAGTGAACTCCCATTTACAACTGCTACAAAGAGAATAAAATACCTAAGAATACAACTAACAAGGGATGTGAAGGACCTCTTCAAGAACTAAAAACCAGGCCAGGCGTGGTGGCTCACATCTGTAATCCCAGCACTTTGGGGGGCCGAGGCAGGCGGATTACGAGGTCAGGAGATCGAGACTGTTCTAGCCAACATGGTGAAACCCCATCTCTACTAAAAATACAAAAAAATTAGCTGGGCATGGTGGCACGCGCCTGTAGTCCCAGCTACTTGGGAGGCTGAGGCAGGAGAATTGCTTGAACCCAGGAGGAGGAGGTTGTAGTGAGCTGACGTCGCACCACCGCACTCCAGC